CCCCTGAGGAGCCACTTGCACTGTTCTGGGAAAATCATTCTTGAAGTCCTCAGATATACGTGCACAGAGTGACTTTTAGCCATTCCTCTCCACATCTCCACTTGGCAAACTCCGATTCCTTGGTGAAGCTGGAACCAAGCAGCAATGCCAGGAGAGGATGGAACAGGAGAGCACTCCGGAGCTCTCAGGCACACGTAGCTCTGTCCAGGAGGATTTGTCATCTCCTCACCTCATCCACTTCACTGACAGCCGCTGGACCTGGGCAGGCCTCTTCCTCCACAGCTTGGCTGATCTACCTTACCACACTGCCCTTACACCTCAGAACTTCTGACTGTATTTATCAGTATAATCATGTCCTAAAGCAGAGAAGCATCAGTACCCTTGGGCAGCAGAGTGAGTTACGAGGAATCTGAGTCACTTGCCTGGAACCAGAAGGCAGGGATAGGACAGAGCCAAAACTCAGTCCTGAGTTTTCCAGTGCTGTAACCCCTGGGCTGCCTTCCTTTGTGCTCACCTGTGGCTCAGCAGCAGTGCTACACTTGTGTAACTGTGAGGATGAATGATGAAGATTTTTACAAGTTATATGATTCGCCTCTGGTTTGCATAGCTACACTTTTTGATGGGTAAAGAACTGGATGATGGCCAGGCCCACAGAGTGGTGGTTGTTGCTGGGGGCCTGTCCTGTTCTACATCTGCACTGATGACCTGGATGAGAGCATTGAGTGCATCCTCAATAAGTTCGCAGATGACACCAAGTTGGGAGGAATGTTAATCTGCCTTGGGGTAGGAAGGGCCCACAGAGGGACCTGGACAGGCCACATAGCTGGGCTGAGGCCAACTGTATGAGCTTCAAGAGGACCAAGTGCCATGTCCTGCACTTTGGCCACAACAACCCCAGGCAACACTACAGGCTTGTGGCAGAGTGGCTGGAAAGTTGTGCACAGGAAAATGATCGGGGAATATTGATCGATGCTAAGAGGAATATGAGCCAGCAGTGTGTCCAGGCAGCTAAGAAGACAAATGACATCCTATCTTGTATTAGAAATTGCCAGCAAGAGCAGGGAGGTGAATATCCCTCTGTAGTCAGCACTGGTAAGGCTGCTCCTTGAGTACTGTGTTCACTTTTGGGCCCATCACTACAAGAAAGACATTACAGCCCTGAAGCATATTCAGAGAAGGGCAACAAAGCTGTGAGGGGTCTGGAGCACAAATCTTATGAGGAGCGACTGAGGGAACTGGAACTGTTCATTTTGGAGAAGAGAAGGCTCAAAGGAGACCTTATCACTCTACAACTCCCTGAAAGGAGGTGGGGGTTGGCCTCTTCTTCCAGTAACAGTGATAGGAGGAGAGGGAATGGCTTCAAGTTGCTCCAGAGGAAGCTCAGGTTGGATATGAAGAAAAATTTTGTCTCAGAAACAGTGGTAATGCATTGGAATGGGCTCCTCAGGGAGGTGGTGGAGTCACCATTCCTGGAGGTGTTGAAGAAACAAGGAGATGTCGTGCTGAGTGATATGGGTTAGTGGGCATGGCAGTGATGGATTAACAGCTGGACTAGATGATCTTAGTGGTTTTATCCAACCTTATTGATTCTGTGACCACAATATAGAATAATAACTTCTGGTGACAAATCTTTATTTACCATAACTGTTATCAGAGATTTCAGGGTATGAGGTCCCACTCTGCTACTCCTGTAGAGCCAGAATCTTCAGCTAACTCATCCACAGCTAAGAACTAGGTCAGCCAAGGTCTTTCCAGCTCAGCGTCAGAGATGTCTGAGTGGATTCAAAGTGGTTGCTAAGGAAAAGTGCAAGAAATAAGGCTTGCATATATGTAATTTGTGGCTTATTGTTTTCTTCAGTCTACTTTTTACTCTACTTTTAACTTCTTTACTCTGATGCTGGTGAAGCACTAGCACAGAGTTTCCAGAGAAGCTGTGGATGCCCCATCCCTGAAGGCATTCAAGGCCAGGATGGATGGGGCCCTGGGCCATACTTACTTATACACTGAAACTGTCCAAAGGAGAGATGGATAGATAGATAGATAGATAGATAGATAGATAGATAGACAGACGGATGGATAGATAGGGCTTACTGTAACAGAGGTCATAAGTCACCTTAGTGGAGGATATTTAGAGGTAAACAGTTCTTCAGGATGAGTATATCCAGTCTGGGTATGCCAGAGATAGCTGAGTATAAGACTTTATTCAGTAGCAGTATCTTTAGGGTATGCAGCTACCATCCTTTGATGTGGAAGAAGGGGAAATCAAACAGAGGTGTTAACCACACCTTAAGGACAGCTTCAGGAACCACTGTTTCCTATTTTCAGATCTATGAACCTTGGGGCTTTGAGTATGAATCTCATCTCTAGAGATCAGCCTGGGAGTCTTTTGTGTAAGTGCTGATATCTGCACTTTCCAGCTAGTTCAGCTCCAGACCTGGATATGTCAGAAATATGTAAGGGTATAAGGGGAGTTTCAGATAGGTGGCCTGCTACCACTGAAGGTGACTGAGGTCTCCCCAAGGATAGCACAGGCTTCTAGGGGATGCAGGACTCAGGCATCTCTCCAGCTCCTTAGGCAGAACAGCATGCCATTCTTCTCTATTCTGGGCTCTTTTGATGGTCTCCCAGATCTGGAAAAGAAATACCTATTGGAAAGTATCTCCAGGTGAAGTACCTTGACCTTGTAAACAGAGGGCATGGCTTTTGTCAAGACAGATGATGGGGAACACCTGCAGACCACCAGTGGTTTGTAACAGGCAGACAGCTCAACACAAGAGGCATTTTCAAGACTGCTATAGGAATCATAGCTATGACAACTTTAAATAAATATTATTTTTATTTTATCAGTATTTTTTCAATAGCTCTTTCCATGCTTGAAGGGCTGTTAAAGGGATGGTATGAAAATAATTGTCACAAAGATTCAGTGTTTGGGTGATGGATGCATTCTGGAGATGGGAAATAAACTCTCAATATTGCGTGAGATATAGTAGGCAGGAAGTGCTTCCAAAGAAAAGTCATCTATCTTATGCTTCCTATCATGAGGAAGAATCTGTAGAAGTTTGCAAGAAAAAGAACATTATAGTCAAAGCCAATGTCCAAGAACAGAGTTCCAGACAGATGTCAGACTACAATTACATTTAAATTCACAGAATGCCGTGCTGCCGAAAGCAAGATATTTGGCCGTAAGTATCTGAATAATCATTGTGACATGATGATGGATAGAAATAATCTTTCTTGGTGTAGCTTGGTTAACAAACAGAAAGGTAAGTCACAGGCGATGACTACGATAGTTCACACTGATCAAATGTGATAGTGTTGTTTACAATAAATGTGTTCAAAGCACCAGAAAAGTCTCTTAAAGCTCTACTTTTTGTCTGCACAAGCATTCGAGAAAGGCACAGATTCTGGATTCAGTGAAAGAGAGAAAAAATGACAGCTGTTAGTCACTGTTATGGGAGTGACACCTGAACTTGTGTTCTTAAGAGAAGAAAATAGAAGGCAGAGGGAGAAAGCAGAAATATCTTGAAGAGACTAGTCAGCACCTGTTGGGCATCTAGAAGGTGGATGAGGATCACCTCTGAGTGAACTTCAGAAGGAACAGTAACAGGAAAGAAAGCTGAAAAGCGGAACCACAGAGCTAATGGAGAACAAAACTTCAAACATAGCCAGCTGTCTATGATGGTTGGTAAATCAAGAAGAGTGAAGGTAACTTTGAGATTTGATTAAGAAAAAATAACTAAAGATTATGAAAAGAATGATATTGGTGGTTCAGAAGCCTAATTACGGGGAGAGGGAAAAGTCAAGTTGTCTGTAATGTTAATGAGCAGAGGAAGGAAAGGTACTAGGATGGATTCTGCTGGACACAATAAAACTTCGCATCTGTTTTGAGTCTCATTGAAACCATCAGAGAAGAACTCACTGTAGGC